TACCTACTCATGTCAATATTTGTAATTTTTTCTCAATAATTTGCAAGTCTAACTTATCACCAATCTATATTTCAGGTTGATAATATCAACTCAGCAAATACATAGGTGAAGCAAATATAAAAGTATTCCTATTAGTAATTCCAACATGGAGCAAGTTACAAAATCTGAGATGTTTTTGCAACCCAAAGACAACATGAGAGTCTTCATCATATTCCAATAGATAACAAACCACTTCCATGCTTGAATCTAAATAACTTTAATAGAGGCTTAGATATATAATTGTATTCTACTATAGAGGTTTGATGGAACAAGCATCTATATTTTTTAGGCACAATTTGCAATATGGCCTAGTGGATTTCAATTCACAATCAAATATTAGGTGATGGCTCAAGTCTATCCAAACCTCCAATAACTGTTGTTGCAAATCAACCCTGTCAGTACCATTGCTATCAAAATCAAATTGCAATGTAGACAATAATTGAGGCTTTAAGTTTTTCTATTGGTTAGGTGAATTTGCAAAACAAGTATAAAAAAATTAGTTTGAAATGCAAATTCAATATTTTTTCATTATTCATATGTTTTTTTTTTTTTTTTTGTTATACTTGCTTTGATACATATGTGCCTATGTTTACAAATATATACAAACATCTACATATATACATAAGAATAAATTGTATATTAGTATATAAAAAAATCATTGAAATTAATATATAACTCATTGAAAATAAATTGTTGATTTTCAACAACTTGAGTATCTAATGTATCATGCACGTGAAATAAAACTAATATTTTATTTTAATAATTTAAAATTAAAATATTAGAGACAAAAAATGAAATTGCAAAGTTGTTTAAAATACTTGATAATTAAGATGTCTTTTAAAGAATAAAAAAAAAATGGAATCAAAATCAAATACTCCATTGTACAAATAATGTATTAATACACATGATTTGAATTGCCAATCTTAAAATTGGTTCTATTTAAAGATGTGCTTGATTTTATTTAAAATAATTAGTGCATTTATTCATATTGGATAAGTTGACTATAGTGATGCTATTAAAAAATATTCCTCCTTGCTAAGGACTTTGCAATGGAATCTGATTCGTATTTACATGACTAATGGATCAATTCTTAAAGCAAGAATTATTAGAGGAAAATTTGCTAGAAACTTGGTATTCATTCCATGGATTACATTAACTTCCACAACAAAAGAACTTCTATTCATTCTAAAGATAAATCAATTTCCAATCCGTCTTGTATTTATAATAATAATAAATAAATTCCGAGGACAATCAATGAAGTACATTGGTTTGGATCTACAACAACCTGTTTTTTTCCATAGTCAACTTTATGTAGCACTCTCTTGATGCACTTCTTCCTACTCTATCAAGATTCTTCTTCCTAAAAATGACAATTTAAATTCCATGCTGAATTTCTTTTCTAATTTTAAAAATTAAATTAATATTATTATTTTATATTTTATATTTTAATTAATTATTTATTGACTTAAGTACATCTTTAAATATTATAGCATATTTATGATTTTTCATGTAATTTAATATTTTTTAAAATATTTTCACAAGTAATTTCTTAAGCAAAATTAACTACTTTTTTTTGCATATCATCCATAACAATGACATGGATTTACCTATCTTACTTCATAGCTGAAAGTTCCATTGTGTATTTTATTTCTTTCTATTTGTGTTGTGTTGTATTTGTATTTGAAATGTATTCTTTGACTCACAAACATATCTTAATGTAACAATGACACAAGTTCATCTGGTTCTTATAAAATGTATGCAAAATATTATTTGTGTCACTATTAAAAAGTGGCTTTATGATGTGTTTCCTTGATACTACCATATATATATATATATATATATATATATACATATAATGACTTATAAACATATACTTCCAAGAAGCTATAAAATAATATTGTAAGATGGTTCAATAACATTTGTATGACATTTCCGGCACTTTGATTACCAATTTTAGCATATGAGATGTGATATATATATATATATATATATATATATGTATGTGTGTGTGTGTGAAATATGTGCATAATATATAATTTGGTTATATTGCATAAAAAAATAGATATATATATATATACATTCTTATTTATGTATGTGAAAAGTCATATGATTATCTTTCATATTGAAGAATAAGATTTTAGAAGAACTTGCTGATGAATACTTCTTTTGAGAAATACCAATATTATCTGATATAGCTCATTATTCTTTTATTTTTTAAGATGTTAAACGGAAATTTTAGTCGCACTTCCAAATATGAAAATTCTATAAAATTTAGCAAGGGTTTGTCACAAGATGATTTTAGTAGTACTAGTAATGCATTTAATGATATTTAAACTTTCAAAGTTAAGAAGCTTGTTCAATGTCAGGAATTGCACCTTAGGAACCTGAAAATATATGATTCTCATAATGAACAGAGTCTCAAAGGCAAAAAATTAACAAACTAAAAAAATCAATAAAATGTTGAATTGGAATCCTGCAGTTATTGAGAGCTTCTCCTGCTTAAACTGGCAGTACAAACTACTTATTGAGCACAGAGGTCAAGATGGCCTGGGCTCTGCAAAAGTGGGACAAACCCACTTTGGGGTGGACTTAGCAAGCATGTCTGAAATTTCCTTCAAGGTGCTTTGGAGATCTCTCCATTTGGACCAGTACATTTAAAATTTAATAAACTACAGAAAAGAATGTTTTCAAAAAAAGGTGAAAAAGTACTCATAGAAAAAGGATATTTTGGAGTATAGGATCTGGATTAGATAGGAGATATGAATTTTAAACTTCTTCCTCTGTGAGAGGATAATCCTACATAATCCCTAGTTTCTCAAAGTACAATCCATGTAGACTTCTGACACCTTCATTTGTGGCTACTCTTGCCAGAGAAATTTTGTGAAAAAGTAAAAGTTATAATTCTCATCCTTCATGGACTTGATTGTCTGTTCTTTTACAGTAGGAATTGAGGCCAATCTCATAGAAATACAAAGAAAAATCTCATTCTCTTGTAAGTAGAGAAGTTTGGATTTGCTTCAAAATCTTCTGACATAATGAAATTCAGGTGAAGTTTTGAAAATAAAACTGGTTTGATGTATCAATTTTCCAAGGCTTTGTACATGAAAACACAAGAGGTGACACAACTTCCAAGGTTGAGAAAACCTCACAATATCAAAAAAATACACTATACCATATATATATATATATATATATATATATAAATATACACAGGCTTAAAAAAAACTTGCTATTGTTCAGAGGAATATGTGCTTCCCCTTAACAACTCCATGTTGCCATGTTTATTAAAAGGGAGCCCTTACTATGTGACTTCTTTCCTCAAGGTAGATTGTGATTCCCTCAAAATCAAACCGCTAATAACAAACAATAAACTATGTGGAGCCAAATAGAAAATCCCTTAATCTCCTCTGTGGAGGGTTTCAACAAACAAGGAGGAGATTAAGGGATTGGATTTAGGCTTGGAAGGTGTGAAGGAGGGCCCCCCACCTTGAAATCTAAGCGGCTGCTGCTACCACCACCACAAGATCACCCAACTGCTGGTTTGTGTTTTCCATGTGTATTTTAGGATTTGTGGGGCTCAATTAAACTGGAATTACTATATTGGCTGATATTGGTGTGAGCAAATTCACTGTTGGGAAATGGTCCCACTGTGGGGTCTTAAGGCCTTAAAAATAATGCACCTGCAGCATAGAAGCCTTCAACAGGAATAGGAGCTTCCCTGTGGGTCCTATGTTAAGTTTAAGCTGATTTGCCTTGATTGCAAGGGGAATTGGGCACAGGGATGAGGGGGATCTCACTCATGGCACTAGGCCAGGAATAAAGCAGATCGAGTTGCCAAGCTCAAAGCTCAATGTTGCTGTTGTGGAATGGGAACCTTTTTAAATATTAAAAGAGCATCTGGAAAACTATATTGAATTCCTATTTAAAAGTATACTGAGATACACCATCATATGTCTGTATATGCTCTGCTATATTCATGTGTTTGAGGGTTTTAAAATTAGGGTGGCATTCAAGGACTGGCATTCACATGGTGTGAAGCATGGGTGGGGTGGTTATATTTTTGCTATCCCATTATCTGGTGATGGAGGTGGTGAAGAAGTAGTATTACACAAATCTACTTGGCTATGGCATACAATGTGGACCCCAAAACACAAGCAAGCAGCTGTAACTGCAAGAGATGGGCCTCACTGGGTTTTGATCCCAAAGGGTTGGGAGGCCATGCAAGTGTTGAAAAGTGAATATTTTGAACAAATGTAATTTTGTAGGGTAAAAATACTCAAAATCTAGTATGTAAATAAAACCTAAATACATACATGTGTAATTAAATTTTAATGATGAAACAATGTTGGTTTTAGGTAATGAATTTATCAAAAGTAAAAAATCCTTATGCTTTTACGACTTTTGAATAGTGGCTTACGTGTGAACATAAATTTCATTATCATTATAACAACACAGACCTGATTTCAAAAATATCATTCAATGAAGTAAAATCACACACAACACTCAATTTGATCACCATGGTACGATTCCAAGAAAGTTTCAACACCTATACAAATATTTTACTTAATTTTTTTGTGTGAATGATAATCCCTACTTTTATCACATGTAAGTGCAACAATTTTATATGTTTGCAAGAAAATGTGCAAGATTCTACACAATGCAGCCCATCAAACAGAAATGAGAAGAAGTTCTCTAGGCTTGTGTGAACCACAATCATCACCGTGGGTTATTTTGAGAATGATGCTTCCAGCTTGTAAATGTTTGTGAAAATCACATGAATTGGTCCATGAAAGTCATGTTTTATAGCGCCTTTGGGTAGATTTCTAGGATGTGACTTTGTGTAGCAGTGAGCAGTGGCGGCGGCGCTACAGAATAGCATGGCGGTGCCCCAGCGCGGCTCGAGCTCGGGTCCACGACGCGCTGTCTCGCGCCTGAATCTTCGCCTCGCGGTGGTTGCCACCCTCTTCAAATTTTCTACTTAACACGACTCGGTCCAGGATCCCGCTAGTTCGTCGCAACACTCCCAGCTTAGCTCAGAGAATCCGCGGCCTGATCCACAGCGAAAATTAGCTCCGAGCTCAGTTTCGTCGCCTTCGCGCATCCCTGAACCATGTTTCTAGACAACTCGTCTAGATTGTGGCGATTCGTGTTCATGTGCAACTAAATGGTTCTTCATGGATGGCGCTAGTATAATTGGGGAAGTTCTTCGCTTTGGCGGTGCAGCAATGACCTCCTGCAACCAGTCCAGGAGAGCGTGAATAGTTTGGAATGCTGCAGTAGACTTGCATGTCGCATGCACTAGCTGACTTGAAGTGTGATTCGAATATCGCCAGCAGCTGAAATGGCCGAGCGAGTGAATACTGGGTCGTTGGACCTTCGGGGAGCTGTATCTAGCACCGCTGGGGCGAGAAGTGGGTGCGGCATTCAGGAAGAATGCAGTACTGTCCACCAGGACACCGTTTCATCTAGTTCCATGAAGCAGTCAGCTGGATTGGGCCACGGATCTTCGTCAGCTTCCAGGAATCGCAAAGGATTCTCAGCAGAACAGAGATGCTTGAATTCCATCAGCAAATGCGACGGTTGCGAGGTAAGCGATGATCAGTTCTTCATCAGAAATAAGACACTGAGCTTTCTGAAAACTTGTTTTATGCCGAACTTCACAATCTGTGACTACTTCTCCGATCCCTCTGTGTGGCCTAAAAAATTGCGCTGCATCGATTCCCGCATCGAGTTACTTGATGCACGTTTGTGCAGCCGTCAGCAAGCCGTGGGAAGAAGGTGAAGAATAAGGAGCAACCTCCAAAGCAAGGTTTCATTCATGTTCGCGCCAGGAGAGGCCAAGCCACAAACAGCCATAGTCTCGCTGAAAGGGTCAGCCATTCTGCCTACGAAACCCCACAATTTACATGATGTCCGCTTGGGTGGAGATACATGGTATCGTTCTAATTTCAATCTCTAACATTGCAATCTTCTGCCTCTTCTTCTTATATTCTCCAAGGTGAACTCAATGCTGTGTGCACTTCCTGTTTTCAGGCGAGGAGGGAGAAAATCAGTAACCGGATGAAGTTCTTACAGGCCCTTGTGCCAGGTTGCAGCGAGGTAGCGTACCTTCCCCCCCTCTCGCTCTCTCTTTCTCTTCACGACATGTGCCTTCAATTGTGGCTCTTTCGTTTTTCAGTTCCATAATCACACCGTCAGTGTCTGGAACACTCGAGGTTGGTGATTGGTTTGCATCCGTGGGGTACAATCACAGGTCACCGGAAAGGCAGTCATGTTGGAAGAAATCATCAACTACGTGAAATCGCTGCAGCGTCAAATTGAGGTGAGCGCTCACAATTGACATCTCCCTGCAATTTCGGACGTCTGGTTGAGACGGGACCCAGGGTTTAATTGCTTGAAATGATGATGTCGTGTTGAATTCCATGACGACCTGGCTCAGCGGGTGTGCAGTTCCTGTCGATGAAGCTGGCAGCTGTGGATCCCAGGCTAGATACCAATGTGGAGGGTTTGCTAAAAATGGAGGTATGTGCAGTGCGCTTGGTGAGCGTCCCGATGGGAGTACAATGATAGCTTGCATGCCTGCTTGCTTGCGTGGTTCTCCGCTGGCCTGCAAAACTGGGCAGGCATTGTTGTGATGCTGCTGAACTGTTGGAGCTGGTGTTACCTGTTCAGCTCCACCAAGTGAGGTCCCCTGAATCAACTTTGATGAGTCCAGACCCAATAGTGGGATATCAAGGCTTGTGTCAACCACATTTCCACATCCAAAAAATCCAACAGCAGACTAACCATTGCAACATGGATTTGAGATACGTGGGAACCTTGAGCAATGCACACTTTAGACGAGGTTCATGGAATGAACCACCGACTCATGCGCCTCCCACGTGCACTGACTATGTATTGGATTCTCTCACGCAGGTGGGTCGTCTATAGCTTAATTTAGTGCCCGAGCATATAGAATTAGGTCATCTCCCAATTTCAAAATGATTCTTTCATTCATTTCCTCAAAGCATTGGATGCAAGAGTAGGTCTAACTAGGCATTTGAACCTTTCACGCAGACGTTCAGGGAGTCCGATGGAAGTCTCCAAACCCTCGTACAAATGGTGAATCCTCAAATCATGCAAAATTTACGTGGCCAAAGTCTTCACGGAGAGCCACTATAACCGACATTTTCTCAAACTGAGGTATTGATCGTTATGGTTTACTTTTGAACTTTAGTACGATTCCTCCTGTGAGAGATGTTGTTGCGCCAAGAGTTCTGGATGATCAATATACTCTTTCAGGCTGAATTACAGGACCTGGCGTTTTTCGAAACATGCCGCTGGAAGGTGGAATACTGAACATAGTGGAAAGCTGGAGGCCGGGTAGATACGACACTCCTAGTTGAACCAGTCGAGATCTAGGTGGCAGTTAAATAGCGTCGTGATCGGGCTCTGCCGTTCAACTTTTTAGTGCATAGTTACAGCACTGAGGTCGCCGTTGGGTTTAATGAATTGAAATTACATACGGTGCACAAGCTACAAGAGAGGATGGCGCGTACAGCTTGAAGACCCGAGAGGTCACCAAATCCTACATCAAGATCTTACTGACAGACAACAATGCCAGGGGTTCCTTCCCATCAACCTTGCTCCCCACCGCATGAGGTGCCAGTGGAGGTGGAAAGTACCGAAATCAGCTTTCGACAAGAACTGATGTGCAGCAAGTTCCAGTCATACAAAGGTCAATACGTTTAGATTAGACTAGTTTTGTGCACCTGACTCAGCTCACCAGAACCTGCAACTGGTATCGGACCAGCCGAGTTCAACTTCGAGCTCTCACTTAGTCATACGACTACAGAGTATTAGCAAGGAAACAGCTCCAAAACATGGCAGTCTTCGATTATTAGCGACCCCACTATTGTATGCACGAGGCGTATGGGTTGTATGCACGAGGCGTATGGGTTGTATGCACGAGATGCTCTTTTCCAAGTCTATTAATGCGAGATCTGCCATTTGGAAACGCCATAACACAAAAGCATCACTACCCAGTTCCACCGCACACTACACACCGTGTTTTGTTGTATGAAGCCAAAAGTTTTCAAATCCGAGTTTCCTCCGGTTTGTGTATCCACGGACTTGCTTGTTGTATTTGAAACTGCAACTCCTGGAAGTTATCACTAAAAAGTTTGCCATCATCATGCTACGGCTCGAGCGGCTGATGAAACCTGCAAAGCTCGTTGCGGTCAAGGTTCGTAGGAGCTGCAGAGCGACTGACCTGAAGATGGAGACGGTTGTACTTGATAAGCAGTGATGGCAAGCACCGGTAACCTTGTCAATGCACCTGCGTCTATGTCTTTCCGGCTCCTGGCAATGGTGTCATTGAGTCATGGTCGCCATACCTGCTTGTTAACCTCGAGCTTGCGGTCAACAAGTACAAAAATCCCAATCCTCCTATAAATCTCAACCGTGCATGGAAGAAAAAATCTAGCCAAATCTGTCGGAATATTCCCACCTGTGCGACAAGGCCGCAGGCAGATATGGAGGGAGGGAGGGCTCCGTGTCGCCACAATAATTGTACTCGGTGTAGCTATTGAAGCTTTGTGAAGAACCGTCCATGCCTCTGGAGCTGGGGTATGGCGCAGCGCACTTGGCAGAGCCATCACGGCTCTTGCTACTCCAACTGGAGTTAGATTTTGCAACTGGGTCTGCCATCACACTCTAGGATTCTTCTCCCTGCCGTTGCCTGCTTTTTGCCTCAGCAAAGCAGTCGTCGCTTTATGTAGTGCAGGGTAGGGAGAGTGAGAGAGACGCCCAGTCTCAGGTTTTTTGGGACTTCGTTGCTACAGTTGTAAGCTAATGAAAGTGTTGTGTTCAATGGGGAAAACAAAACCCTACAATTAGGTTTTCTGGCATGAATGGTATGACTTCAATTCTAACATGCCTCCAGTGATATTACGAAAAGCTGATAAACATTTTAGTTTCAGAAGGAAAACAAAAAATAAAATAATAATAATAATAAAAAATCCGATTATGGGTTTTCATACATAATTTGGGATGCTTTTATTACCTTTGGTGTTATGATACCAAGTGATGTGTCATTATTCTTAATCTAGATAGAGTAGATCACACAAGTAAGCAGCTACTTTAGCTTAATTATTCGGGAGAAAAGAAAGTGATAACATCTTTGCTTTTCAATCAAGTCAAGAAAAGTTCAATCTCGTACAATACATTTATTTTTCAGATTTTTATTAACATCCTAAATTTTCAAAATACAGTCCTAAATAAATATTTTTTAAAGCTTCATATCTGAAATATTAACAGTTCAAGTATTATGTATCGTCTAAAATTATTAAAAAGATATATTTGTGTACATATGTGTATAAAAATATAAATATCGATGTACTTATAAATACTTTTGCCTTCTTTGTACATACATCACGATTGTACATAATCGTTAGATGTCCAATTTTATGGTCAAATTCTTTTATAATAAAACATGTATCTTTGAATCCACATGTAAGGTAAATCAATAGATATAATTTTCGTGAAAATTTAATTTCTGGAGTACAAAAGTACCTTGAATACATTAGATTTCATCACTCTCTGTGTGTATTTTTCAATTATTGTTTAACCTCGTTTCGAAGCAATCACCAGTTTCCTTTGAATCGGCAATTGCTTGTAAGTTTCCCATTTCATTGTTGTCTAATCATCACATAAAATGTAACTTAACGCAGGGTTAAAATCTAATCAAGTTTGAAATGCCAACACTTGATTTTCGGAATTTAACACTCGATCCGTCTATAGATTCAAGAGAAAAGTAACATCAGTTATACACTTGCACTGATTGATATCATTCGAAGAAGAGAAAAAACAAAACGGTTCCGTTTCAGCAACATCAAACACTGCATACTCATACATTTACTTCTGAAAGCCAAGCTGTTGGTATTCAAATATAAACTAGTACATGCTTGAATGTTTCAACTAATCTACAAGATCACACAAGATACAGCAAACGAAATATTAAAATGGTAAAACATGAGCAGTAAATGATAAATAAGGAAAAGGTAAATTAACTAACCAAGCGGCTCATCTGAGGAGATTCCTTAGCACTTTTAAACCCTCAGCGAAGCTGTATGAAGAAGCATAAAATATTTGGTCTGATGTATGAAGCACTTCACAACTTGGACAATTCTCAAAAGTGCTAAAATGTTAAGTGCAGAGCAAGAATATGTGAAAACCCCCGGAAGACAGCCAATGCACAGGTCCCAGATAGATAAGGGAGCTTTGAAATGTTTGTGTCCAATAAGAGCGTAAATCACCTACTTTTTGCCAACAATTTAAGACACCCATGGAAGGGCAATGGATAGCTATGCAAAAGATTACGAATCCTGGCTCAACCCATCATAAATCTCATCCAGATAAACTGCTCCCGAGTTTTAAAGTTTAGATGAAACCGGCAGCACTACGTCTGTGAAAGCTTTTCCCGAATGCAGGAGCAAAACAACGTCACAAGCCTCGTGTACTTTCTGTATGTTAAATAGGCAGCAGCCACTGCACTGCCATTTTTCCGACATATGCAAGCACTCACAAGACTCCCATGGGCATCAACAAAACAAAAATAAGTTTTAAAAATAAAAAATAAAAAATACAATCAATGGATAATGATGAAGATTCGAAGTGTACGGCAAACACGTGGGAGCTACCCAGCTGCAACAACAGGACCTCCACCAACTGCTACCATGCTTGCCATGCTCTTCTGTTCGTCCACTTCCCTCTGTTGGATTCCCATCTGTACATCCTGCAGTGTCACGAAATCACAAGTATGACTTACGAACAAGAAGATTACATATGTTTTCTGTAGAGAATCATCAAACCTAGGGTTATCACAATCTAGCACAAAAACCACCCTACCTGTTAACCTAACATTGATCATTCACACGCTTCAAAATGTACAAAATAATCTTGAACAATCCTTTCGTCAAAAAACAACTAAATAAATTTTCGGATTTTTGATGTAGGCCAGGCTAAGAAGAAGAACATAGATAGCCTACCGCCACTTGAGAGACATTCTCTAGGCTATGCTGCAAGCCCCCCACTTGGTCCTGCTGTTGCTGCAGAAAGATCTGTATCCTCCAGAAACCATCACACCAATCCCTTAGCTCAGCTCAATGCACATGACTCAAAAGGATTACAGCAGGGGATAAGAAAATACAATTCCAGATAAGAACACACAACCAGACATCTTTGGGCGTTAAAGCGACTACTTCAGTCAGTTTCTATGACCAACGGATGAGTAGCTTGGATTCCTGGTGCTCAAAAGAAATGAACATTACTTCGCTCCTTGCAGGACAGGAAATGTGCTTACTTGCTGTGGATGCAACATTAGCTGCTGCTGCCCCCCAGCAGTCATTGGAAGGTTCTTAGACAGATCCCTCAATACACCCTGTTAAACATCAGAAACAAAGATTTGTAAACTCTAATCACGAGCCCCAACAGGTTTACAAATACAGTTTTGCAACTGCGCATTTATGAGAGCTAACCCTCAAAACCATCAATGATTTCCATTACACGTACCTTGTTAGCCCACATAAGGCCACAAGCATTACATAACGTCCGAGGCCCAGCTGGTCCTCGCCGCATCATTGGAGTGGACCGCTCTCCAATTCCACAATGAACACAGCTGCCAATCATGAAACCAAGAAATAAGTAACACTCCCTGAATACTCAACCCCGGGAGCACCACTTGGCCACACAAAAAAACTAAAACCAACACACAGAGACACACACACACACTGAGCTAGTGGGTACATCAAACAATATGATCCAGAGGAAAACATACGATACTTCTGGTTGAACTCCCGGTCCCAAAGGTTGTCCCGAGGCTTGGGTACCATCCCAGTTTGAAACAGGGGAGCCCTCTTCCTGAGTTGGCCGTGAAGACGCAAATTGGCCTTTCTTGCGCTGCATCCTGAACACAGTCTTAAGTTGATCTAGTCAGAAATTTATCCTTTGGAAAGAATTGTATTTTCACTACACCGTCCAGCATATCATACAGTAGCAACTTAACTGCCTTCAACGCACTTCAACGGTTGAATAGGTTTCTACGTTCCAAATCATTTTTTAGAGCAAGAAATGCTTAAGACGAGAAAAAACAGAAGTGAGTGCAAAACATCACGGGTCATCACAAAAACTACCTTTGAGCAACTTCTTTACGAACAGTGTAACGAATTTTCTTATCATAACACCGCTCTTTGCGCTTCTCCCGAAATCTTGTCAATGATGCCAACCGTTGTGGCATGTTCATTCTCGAAGGCAATTCCGGCATTCCCTGCATCGCTCAAGACACAAGGGCGATTCTTAGAATTCGAATTAAACTAGTCTGAACTGAACTCCAAAGTAGACATAATCACCAATGAAAGCCATTCCTGAAATCAAAGTCATATTTTAGACTAGGAGAAGGTACTACCACCATCAACACTGCCAGCAGAAGTGGCACTCTTACTCTCATGAACGACGAACCATAAATGCGTGTAAGACATAGGAAATACACAAAAAATTTACCTTGTGATGATGATGGCTGGAAACATTGCCACCTGACATGCCTGGAGGTATCTCTCGGCCACCCAATAAAAGCAGCACAGCCTGAACCTGTAATGAATATGCAAGGAGAATTAACCCAGCTGAAACGAACAGCCCTCGCACTGCTGTTACATAGAGCTATTTTTAAATCAATGGATAAATTTATATTATTTTTTAAAATAATAATAATAAATAATGTATTAAAAAAACAGGGTAGGCATCAGAAAAGAAGAAACGCCATCTATCCAACTGAAAATCATTCTACAATATATGTAATAGAAAGGCATGATTTGGTGCAAACACCGCATAAAACGTGAAAATGAGTAATACACAGTCGATGCAGGTTGTAAAGGCAATGCATGATAATTTACCTTCTCAGGGGGCACCGCATCAAACACATAGACTTCACCTTGATAAGATAAAGTAAGCTGTGTGGAGCCCTGGGTGCGTATAGCCAGGGCCGGGGGAGCGTCACCAGGATTGCCACCGCCATCAGAGTGCATTTCAGCCTCATCTAGACCTTCCTCATCTCCAGCATCATCGTCATGATCTTCAACTCCTGCTCCATTCTCCTCATTGTGATGCATACCATGCCCGTGTCCATGATGACCATTATGACCATGAACATGATCCCCTTCTAGGTGCCTCTGGACTCGTTGGTCCACTCTACCCTGTACGTCCGCTTCGCCATGACCATGGCCATGCACGTGCATCTCATGCATGCCATGCTGTGCGTGACCTAATGCATGGTCCAAACTGTGCTGGTGGATGTTGTGATGTAACTGAAGAGATTGGCCATGCACGAGGTGATCTACGTCTGACATCCCTCCTACATCTACTTCTTCGGGGCGCATTCAAAGTCGAGGAACGCTTTCAATGACTGGGGCCCCTCCTATACTACCGAAAGGAAGTCCTAAGACTAAAGTTCAGCAATTCATGTAATGCACCATATGATACTCGGAATATAGACTAGTGTGATGCCACAACCATCAGGTACAACATCTCCTCCATGTATCATATCCTCATCGATAACATAAGTACCATCATCCTTAAATAACGATAAAGCCTCTACCTGTCAGACAATGCAAGGACCTATGATCAGAAAAGAATGTATGCAGAAAGTACGGAATGCTGATCTGAAGCAAACGAACCAACCACGTGCTCTTCCACGAAGTTTTGAGATTTATGGTCAGCAAAATAAGACTAAAAAGTGTTCTAGAGGGGAACAATATAACATAAAACTTGATCTTAATCATATTACTGCAAGCATAGAAGAGCGTACATAACCACGAACACAGCGCTGAGGCAAGTAGGCAACTATTGACAGAAATGAGTAAAATAAAAAACGTAAAACTGTAACAGATTTGATGCAGCACCACAGCAGTTATACCTATTCCCATAACCGCATTCTACGTTTCAATCCAACGCAGACCAATTTAGCTGCATGTAAAATACTGAAAGAGAATCAGATCAAGAATTTTCTCAAAAAGAAAATTAAAGGGCCAGACGTGATTATAATAACTACGTCAATCCATGAATGGCTCTACGATTCATGCAAAATGCTATATAAGTCCCGCTATGAGAGACTCGCCACGTTGAAAGGAACGTCAGAGCAGAAACTCTAGTCGTCTCTTAACCCTAAATTGCAGCTCACATAGAAGAAGCCCTCAGTATTACTACCCCTCATCAACTTTTCCAGGAACCCAGGTCAATGACCTAAAATGACCCTATCGTTACAATATTATAATATGTTTCCCTCGTGAGATGATTTCTGAAATCCCACTATGACTACAGCTCGGGTCAGTAACATTTCAGCGCTCTGAACCACTTTTCGGCCAAGACTAAAGGTCAATATGCATAGCCGAACAATCTATACTCGTGTAAAGCGCTCCGAATTGCAAGAGCGTGCAAACGCACATGTGAATCTTCCACCCCCGTTTCTCAATTTCCTTAGAGATAGTGGCCATAAATCTGTCCGTCTCCAGCAAAGATCACAAATCTTTCCATGTTTACGAATGCTTCCACTGCCAACCTCAGCACCCCTGGGTTTGGCGAAACTGATCATTTTCTATCTTAAATTTTTATGAACAAGAACTAAACAGCTTCAATCAACCCGCCACCTGAGGATTACACAGAAACTCTTTTTTCCGTGTATGAATAACACAACAGCACCCTCAATCCTTCCTGCTCACGCCCTATCCTTGAATTTCCCATAAGGACAACCCCCTAAGTAACGCCCTGCACATCTCATATCAACATCTCCACATAACCCATAAACCCTCTAACCCACAAAAAAAAACCCAAAAATTCATGGAAGACTCTATACACGTGCATCACTTGCCCTTCAATCACCACCCCAGCCCACCCCAGCCCACCTCCCAACAAAAAAAAAAAAAAAAAAAAAAAAAAAAACCCAAAACCCAAAACCCAAAACCAAACCCTCAAAATCTACAGCAACCCACCTCCCGAGTAAATGATCTCTCGCAGAAACCAACACGTCTACTTCAACTCAGCTTCGCCACAGCCTATGACTGCACTACTACAATGGCGGCAGCAGCAGCAGCGCTTCCACCGAGGACAAGAACAAACCATGTCCAAATCGGAGCCGCCAATCCACAATGCGACGTCTCCCCACAAAAAATCTCCTCACCCAACACCCAAGTGTGCTACAAAAACCACCCCAGAAGCTTCGAAATCTTCAACAACACAAGTAAATGAGCAAAACGGACGTTGTAAGTGCAAGCGAAACGAGAGGGTGCGTGAGGAGGGAAGAGGCGAGGAAAGCGCGCGAGAAGGCAGTCCAAGTGCGACACCAGCAGCCTCTCCTCCCCCTCCACGCCCCGCCGTTACCCCCTCTTGCTTTTTCGGGGTAACTTTCGACGCGGCGAACTAGCTTTTTCCCGCGGTTCGATTGACTTTGAGCGGTTGTTACCGCGCGTGGTGATAGGCCCACGCCAATGTCCCATTATCAGGAGACCTTTAGGAAAGTCTCCTTTGGATCCACATATCATTTGTTCGATTTTGTTTGCGTGGATGACCAATTCTGCCGCTTTGTCTGTTTGTTTGTTGGTTTCGTTGGTGTTCTAAGGGTTTTTTCGCTGGAGCCTGTGCGGGAAGGCGCCTTTTGGTGGGTTGTTCTAAATTCCTCGTTGCCCCTTCACCCCAGTGGAAGTCACTTCGAGTGCCTTGCCCACTGTGACGTGGCTCATCACGCTCACTGTTTTAACTCTATTCACTGGGGTAGAATTAAAATTAAAAAAAATCATGATGAAGATAAAACTAAGAGTTTTGTGGGTTAAACCTCTGTGGCTTGGAGAAATGGGTTCCTATACAATGGATTCTTCGTTCAAAGTTCAAAGTAAGCATACCAAAGCTCTTCTGGTTTCTTCTTGTCATATCTTAAAACCTCAACATATCGATTTGCTTCTGGCTTGGCAACTCGTGGTTAAGTTTCTGTGTTAAATAATGGCGTTTTGATTAGCCAATTCTTCACTTTTTTACGAGGTTGGAAAAAGTATTTGTACATTCATCAGGAGTGTGCGTGCAAGGGAAATGGCAAAGCTGGGTCCAGTTGACTTGGGGTTTGAATGTTAGCACTTTCGATGTAACACCGCGGTTCCGTGATCTTCCTGGGAAGAACTACAAATCACATGCATTTCGCACATGTTAACTGAGGGTTCAACTGATGATAGTTGATGATTACGTTTGACATGATTCATTAATGGCATTCAGGTTGTCAAAGGTGGAGCTATAAGCGACAGGTGTAGAAGTTGAATTATCCTTAATAAGAACCAAGTAATTGTAGTACTAATCAGCTTCACTAATTACTCTCGTTAAACCCAGCGAATTTCGGAGGAGTGACATCATTTGACATTCACGGACCTCAGCAGGAAAACCACCTTATCACAAGCATTGTATAGTATTAGTGTCTGGCAGCCTACATTCCTCAATGCTAGGTATATCTTTCTGAACGAGACACATGGCAAGGCATTTGTGGGGGCTCATTTGTGAGGAGGGAGTTCGTTGCAGCCAAGTTAGTCGCCGCTGGCACTAGTACAGTAACGAAAGCATAAACTGGTAACTTTCCTGAGGGATAGATAAACACAATATTGAAAGGACGTTTTGCAACTACCACGTTGGTTGCTGGGTTTTAATTTGTTTGCAGCGTCACTCTTCCTCCGGGTGTCCGGTTCAAGCCGGGGGACTGTACCATCTTGTGAGACCGACATTTTTCTACGCAACGACCATCCGACTGCTGCGAAATCATCAGAGGGATGTGACTCTCAAGGGTTTTGCATTCAATCTCTCCTTTGACAGTTTATCATTGCCTGAGAAAATGTCTGCATGGTAACTTAGGTGACAGAAATGACCAGAACCACGGCGAAAAAGTACAGGAGCTTCAAACAGTAGAAATCGGATACAACTTGAAGAAACCTAACATTGGTAATAGTGAGGAGCTGACAGAGCAATAGGAGAAGCCAGCAAAGAAGCGAGGACAGGAGGCCTTCAAACACAAGCCATGACCCCTCTCAATATATCACGATGGTTAAGCCTTTGTGCTTCTCTCCCATGGTTCCAGCGGAGGGCTGTTCTGTAGAGAGGTTTCTGAACTAAGTGAACACCCTCCCTCCTCTCAATAAGAACAGTAATAATGAAAATAAGAATACTGTCTTTTAATTCGGAAATTTCGACTAACAATTAAATGATTTAGAGCAATCAGTGACATGTTCGGACTGCCGTCCTTTGTAGAAACGAAGACGGAAATAACCTGGAAACACAAGTGGAGTAAGAATCATGAAGAGGACCATGAGGAACACTAGAATCATTACTTGTTCTTTCGAACCTACTTTCTTCAATGCTCCAGCAATTCTTTTCTGCACAGTCGTAGATAGTGAAGTCAATTAAGGATCTAAGCTGCTCAGCAGCCACCCTCGGACAATCACTGCAATCGTCATATCAGCTTGCGAACAGAGTGTCGAGAAGTTGACAATTATCATCCCTCTCAGCAGCAACTTTGAACTCCTCGAAGAATCGATTGTACCTGTTAACTTTGAGAAAATTCATGGATAGCAGAATGAGAACTGCTAGCATGGGAAAACGTGACAAACATTGGATCCAAAATATGATCAAAACTACATACACAACCTCTACAAAGGCATTGAATTAGAAGCTGAGGAGTTCGCCTGACTCAGTGCATAAGCAGTTCGTTTTTTACGACGCTCAATCTCAGTGCAACCAAAATTACATCAAGCTGGATCTCTTTCTACAACGACAATTGCTCCATCTAACTCCTTCACCAGAAATATTATACACCACTGCTTTTCAGTACATCAATTGAAAAACTGTAAATAAAATAGAAAAGTGTTCAATCCACTGATGATTTGACTGGGTTACAAGTATGACTAACAGAGCATGCACGACTTGTTTTGTACAACATTTTCAGCCCATAGCCCACCATAGAAAAAAATACATGTCACAAAATTGCTACGAGAGGAAGACTGCCGGAACTAATACTTGCAAAAAAGTCGCACATACCACTCAACATTGTTCCAAATGTTTGCTACCCACTTGTGAAAGAAGCCATAAACCCAAAGGAAGGAGTAGATGTGACCTGCTACTCAACAGCCTCATTACCACAACAACGCTTCTCAAGAATCACAACCACCACCGCGGCAGAAACAAGCAACTCCTTTCCACAGTTCCAACGCAACCTGCAGCAACTTCACCACCAGAACGCAAAACAGCACATCATCACATTGTCGTCTTCACAAGACTGCCATATAAACAATGAAGCAAATCCTCACATTGCAATCCAAAGCCAAACCTGGTGTTGCAGTTCTCTCCCTTAGGAACGACATGAAGAATGCTGTGCTATTGGCTCCATCACCAACTGTGGGATGTGGTGAACCCTAATCCTGGACCAAACATGGAAAAAGGTGAAGTGGTGTACTATCACTAGTAATGCTTGTATCAAATCTTCTGTGAATATCCTGAATTCATGAATCCTGTTTTTTGGAGTTTTATTTCAGCATTCCATTTCATCTTCACTGGTACTTCTTTACATTCAACAAGCAGTTTCTTTTGTTGATAGTTGTTCAGATTACACTCTGTATGTATGTGTGTATGTATGTGTAAGTTTGATTTTATGATAATTCCAGTGTCTATTGATGTGTTCTACTACTTCCTCTAACTTGTAGCGTGAAAATAATTACTTCTTTACTTAGTTATTCATTTATTTGTGCATGTGCATGTGTATACATATATGTATACACACATAGGTGACTATGCATAGGACTGTGCTATGACTTGATTCTGATGAATATTTTAAAAATATTAAAAATTAAAAAGAAGATATTTTGAAGTTTTTTATTTTTCATTTCAAGAGTCTCTAGTATTTCATTTTATTTTTTATTATATATATATATGTCTTTTAATTTATTAGTATATTTTTTTTATTAATTTTAATGCTTATTTTTTATTATTGAATTAAAAATAATCACAATCAAAATTAAATGAATACTTAAGATGTGGTGTTAAATTATAATGATATATTTTCGTTATTTAATTAAATAAAAATAAACTATGTATTCATAGGCAAATAAAAGAACAATTGATTTATTATTGTTATTTATTTTAGTTAAAATAAATATTATATTTCAATTATTTTGATGGTAGTTAATCATACATCTCAAACATTGCTATAAAACTTCATTTATTCATTTAATTTATCCATTAAAAATAGAAAGATAAAGATAATTTATATCTATATTTAGTATTTTAGAAAAGAATTCTATAAAACCTTCATATAAATTGAATCCATATATTTAATATAGTAATCTTTAATAATCCATGATATTGATAATTATAATAAAAAATTAGCTATTTTTTTCATATATGTTAAATTTGGTACATAATACAAATTATGCAATTATTGTAAAATAATCTAATATCACAAGTATAGAATCATAAGATTTTAAAATTAAAAGATTAGCAATAATATTTATTAAAAAAAAAAAAACATCATTGTTTTCATATCGGTAATGGCTAAAAAATTTTATAAGATTAATAATAAGGAATTTTTGGTTTTTGAAAAAATATTATATGATTACACAATGTTTTTAATTACCATCCACATTTGAGGCTACTAAAAATCTCTTGAAATTAACTCTAAATTTTGTATCCAAAATGCCATATAGTTGGAAAGTTATGATGAGGTTAAATAGCTTGATATTCTACTTCATCTTTTAGAACATATATGCATCTTTTGAAATATAATGGATTTTTTTAAACTCAAATTTTAAAATATTATGATTTTCAAAAGAATTATTTTTAATATCATAAATAAAGAGATTGAAAGCTATATTTGATTGAAATTGATTAAGAAAGATTCAATCAACTATCAATATTGATTTCTTTGCTTAAGGATGAAATTGCTTTAGCTTCAAAAAAAGGGTATGTTAATAAAAATCAGCATTTTTTTTTTTTTTTTTTTTTTCTTTTGGTATAAAATAAGAATGTCTAAAAAGTATGTTTGACAACCTTATTTATTTTCTTTATTGGTAAATGATCTTAAATTCAAATTTTGATAAAGACATACTCCAATAGACTTGGCAATGATTTAAATCACGTGCTGATATAAAATACTTATAATTCTTATAATTTGAATAAACAATCACTAGACTAAAATTACCTTCTAGATAATTGTGCCATTCTTAAAATAAATCCATAATTAGAAGAAGCTTTTAGTTATGAACTTATATTTAATTTTGGTTGTTAAAAAATTTCTTAAATAAAAAGTAATATGGTGAAGTTTGCCATTTGCTCCCATTTGTGACAATATTACATCTAAAACAAAGTCTTGTGCATCTATTTTCACAAAAAATATCTTAAAAAAACCAAAACAATATGAAATTGAGGCTATTATAAAAACAATCTTCAAAACTTTAAATGATACTTTAGTTCCTTTATTCTTAGTGAGGTCCTTATTAATATATTCCTTAAGTGCACCAAACTCATTTTATAATAAGCTACAAATTGGTTCAAATGTCAAATGAATTTGTTCTTAAAGATCAATTGAGCAATCATAAGGATAATGATTCAGAAGAATATATGTTATTTTTTTTTTTAAAAAAATTTCTTCATAATCCTTATATTGACTCAAAATACTAGTTGGAGTTTTTCTACCATATGAAATAGGTGTGGCATAAATAGCAAAAAATTACCTTTCTTTTGCAACATGCATAAAAATTCTAATACCTACTAATAAAGATTTGGATGTATTAGACTTATGATTTTTTTCTTGAATAATAAAAATTTAGATTATGCTACAAAAAAAATTGAAATTACAAAAAATTTCTTTATTTAAGGATCATATTTTTTTAGCCACAGTAAACTTAAAATGACTAGGTTGAAAAAGGATCTAATAATATAAAATATTAATAAGCTATGTAAGGATAAAATTCATCTCTCAGTTCAATTTACAAGATGGCATGAACTAAAAATTTCTTGTAATTGGTGATATGAAGTAAGACAAGTATTTCACAAGAATAAAAGAAGAATAAACACAAAACAAGTGAAAAAAATGTATTCAAGCAAATACACACTCTAAAACTTAGTTACAATCTATTTATTAAAATTTTATACAAAATATATATATATATATATATATATATATATATAATTTTATTATCTTTTTAATATTATAAGAAATATGTAAATCTAATTTACTATGAGTAAGTTATGAAGGTTTAAAGATATCAAGTAAATAATTAAAAAAATTAAGTGAAAATATTTCATCTCAAGAATAACTTACTTATAGATTATAAGTTCAAGCCTCACCAAAGCTCACATGTAATACATAAGAATTATTTAAGAGAAGCCATGAGGCCTTAGTCTTATCTTTGTAACTATATTCAAGGTGCTACAATCCATATGAAACTTGTGCACCTTCCTTTCTATAAGAACTACATTAACTACTGGTCCTCCTATTTTCTATTAGTAAAACTAATATTTTTGCATTTTTGACTACACCATAGTGTTCAAAAATACTCAATTAGCCCTGGATTTATATGTGGCCTTTAAATATTTCTCCATTTCTTCATAATAGCTCCCAAGGTAGTAAAAACTCAATTTTACCAAAGTCTTGAAAGTTTCTATAAAAGTTCTTAAAAAATTCTAAATAAAATTTAAAAATTCTTATAATATTTTTATATTGATAATATTAAATAAAATATAATTTTCTTATCTTAATAATTTTTTATATTAATAAAATTAATTTAAACCTTATTTCTAATATACCTAAAAATACATGATATTCTTTCTTCTACTTCTTCTTATTATTGATTAATATTTATAGATTTTTAATGAGTAATATATATATATATATATATATATATTTTGAAAAAATAAAATACCAATGTAGACATTGGTCTTAATAGTTAATCTTTAATATTCAATAACAAGTAAAAATATTAAATTAACTAAAATAATTGCTTCAAAGACTTATTGAGACTCTATTTTAATAAATTTTTCTCTAGTAATACTCTTATACTTTATAAACATTTCTAAATTCTAATGAATACTTGAATCATCAAAAAATCTCTTTAATATTAATATTTTTATATTTAAATAACTAAATTTAAAATTTTTAATAGTTCCACCAATAAAGATCTATTGATAGGACTCATAAGCTATTATAATCATGAATAGCTACCTCTATAAAAATAATTTCATATATAGTATTTTTAGAGGTAATATAAAATTAAGCATTTAGAAGAATGTTTAAAGAATTTACATATTTAAAAAAGTTGTAAGCATTGTAGAAGATTGATAGGTGATAATTAGTATAGTTATAAATTTGCTTATCATAAATTATGATGGTTGGTGAGTTTGAAATCAATAGTATGATTAGATTAAAGGTTATTGAAATTCAATTGAATTAAAATCTTAGAATTTGGATTTTAAGGATCAATAATGATTTCTTTGATCTTGTAAAATATGCCAATCTAATTGAGGCAATATTTTATTAGCTAATAGTTATTATAATTTTTTAAAAAACTAAAGTTTGAAATCAATTGAATAGTGCAATAAAGAAATAGTTTTTTGATGGATTTATATTAAGATTTGAAAAAATGGCTAATATTAAAATAAATAAGAAGTTTTTTTTTTTTTTTTTTTTTTTTTTTTTTTTTTTCAAACCTCAATATTAATCCATCAAAAAATTATTGCACCATTCAATTACTTTTAAACTTCAATTTTTAAAAAAAATATATTAATTATTACCTAATAAAATATTACCTCAATTAGATTGGTATATTTTATAAGATTAAAGAAATTCTTATTAATCCTTAAAATCAAAATTCTAAGATCGTAATTTAATTCAATTTCAATAATCTTTAATCTAACCATACTATTGATTTCAAGCCCACAAAACACATTTATGACAAACAAATTTATAACTACATTAATGTTTACTTGTCAAGCTTTTACAATTCTTATAATTTTTTTAATTGTGTAAATTATTTAAGATTTTTCAAAATTCTTAATCACTTTAAACACCTCTAACTTTCAAAAGCCTTCAGCAACTCAATATCAATCAAATTCTTTCAAAATTAATATTTGAATAAAATCTATAGAATTGGCCTTCTATCTTTATTCTTTAATCAACAAACAAACTCAAAAATTATAGTAAGTATACAATTTTTGACTCCCAAGGTTTGGTTTTGAATTTGGTTTAAAATCAATCTTCTTCAAGTATCTATTTATGAATTTAAGATATATATATTTTTTAAAAATACTTTTAATTCTTTCTTTAAAAATATTTATATTATTTTTTTCTTAATCTACTTTGATTTTTCTTATTTACGGTCCTAAAAAATAAATAGAAGTATTTTTATAAAATAAAATAATATGAATATTTAATATATTTACTAACTCTTTATTTTTTATTCATTTCTT